ATTGGGGCCATTGCTGCCCCCATCGATGTTCCAGATATCTGTTTGTCCATGTTTTTTCAGATCTAAAGTAATTGTAACTGAGTACCAGATGAAGAAGTTCTAACGTAAATTCTACCGATGGGCCCTCATAGTACGGAGAGGATGTTAGTATCCTCCGCATGGCCTCAATGCCTTCTTGGTGTGGAATAATTCTATAAAGACTCTTCACGTCACAGGTGTTGAATATTGCTGTAGAGTCCATTGTTGTAATGCCTTGTAGTTAATTCAGTAGGCTTGGTGTATCATTCACAGAAGTTGGTAGTTTTTCTCCTGTTTCCTTGAAAAGGTAATCTAGCCATTTAGCTATTGGTTCTAGAGCTCCTTCGATTGCTGAGACGATAGATCTTCCTGGAGATGTTGTAGGGTTCTTGTGTACCTTTGGTAAGGTATATATCACCAGAGTTCTGGGATTTCTTTGTAAAAGGTATCGGTACAGTTCTTGTGTGATATATGATATAACCACGCCCCCTTGCGTTCCAGCGGGCCCTGTGGCAACTGGCTGGAATGCATTCAGTACACAGCAGTTCACAACACTGCTGCAATGGTTCTCATACCAGGTCAAATTAACCCATGATTTTGGGGCCAGCTGGAACAATAACAGGGGTGATGGGTGAGTCATTTCTGTGTGTAATGTATTCATTAGTATTTTTTTGTATTTAAGCACTGGGTGTTGGGTTGCACTGTTATCCTGATGAAAGTGGTAATACATTTACCACCTTCTCACCATACCACACTAACTCTTACGCTCACACAACACAAGCAACTACTCCACACACATATGCTGCCAGACACAGACATGCACACAGACACAGAGACACACATTCACACACATGGATGCATAGGCAGATACACTTAATGAAGAAGATATGTGGCGAAAGTAACCTCGCCACTGGTACTTGGAGGGGCCTGCTTGCCAGCCTCTTGCCCCAGGAATATGGCCCATGTATTAGACCTGGATTCAGGACTGTGGAAAGGCTTTATTTGTGCCTTTTACCTTCTACAGTTCAGTATATGGGACTACCGAATTGATTATGCCCATGGTGTTCGTTTACCGAACAAACAACAGAACAGTTGGACCACACGCAAGTGTAGTGTGCAGCCCAGTTACCTCCCAGGCTGGTAGTTAACCGCAG